GTGATCTCATCAAGGAAGCTTATTTTGCTCTAGGACATTATTTGCATGGAGCAGTGTACTTTCACAGAGATAGTTTTAACTTGAACTGAATAAGGCAAGGGTGTTTGGGGGAAACAAGATCACCATTTGAACTATTTTTATTTTAAATATTTATTTCCAGCAAGAAGCACCCTGAATTACGTCAAGCCGAGCTGTTGGCAGCAGCATCAAAATCCTTCCTGCGGGAAGTTCTTGGGAGCCCTGAGGATTATCTCAGTGATAATGGTGCAACTCTTGTCTTCAATACTGTACTCGAGAAGTGCCTTGGTAAGTGTCAAGAATTAGGAAACCCCTCAATCCATCTGAATGTCACTACTTGTTGGGAAGAGAGCATGGGAAAGTGGGATAAAACAGGAAAAATGAAGAATACATCTAGGAACGAAGTTCAGTATTGCCTTGTGGAAAAGATTTCCTTGAGGGATTTGCAAATAATTAGGGTTTGGAATAGTAATCACTGAATGTACTGGCTACTTTCACGTGTGAAAATTCAGAATTCCAGGATATATTTCTTTTATTTATTCTAAAATTGGGTACCAGATTACATATTTTCTGCCGCTACTAGTGAATTGTAAGGTCTTTTTGCTGCAACTATAGTTGCTCTGCAGCCATAATTACTTAATGCTTGTTATTACTTAATGTACATACAATTTTAACTTTTTTCTCTATGGTTATGATCCTAAATAATTTAAGATTATTAGGACAACCTCTTTCATATGGCATTTTCAAATAGCAATGTTTTACACACCATGTCCTATTTGCCCTTTGCTGTGGAGATTGATTGTGGAGATTTGTGTGAGTTTTGAGGCTGAACTGTCTAGATTCTGAGGAGTTGATATTTATGCCATGAAAAGCTTTTATTTGAATTTCAAAGTAAAAAATACTTTATTCTTATCCATGAAACTCAGTTTTAGCTGATCACATCAAGAAATCAATCAATATGTAAAAGAGTACAGTATTGTCAAATTTTGAGTGTGAATGATTGTTAATTAGTTCTTGTTATTTATTATATGGAGTTTCTCATTGCGTAATGGCTTCTCAGATGTTGAAGGGTCCCAGGAGGCATTCCAGCTTCTAGCAGAAAAGATCAAGGAACCCTTGGTCCCAGGGGAAGTGAAACACATTGTGGAACGTTCAGCAACACATCTCATGCTCAAGAAGCTCATTGTAACTGATAAACAAAGAAAAGGTAAGCTTTTCTGTGATTCTTCTTTCATTGTGGTTCTTAGTCTCTTTTTCCCATTGCAAAGAAACCTCTTAGCAGTTTTCCTAATTGTGAAGGGAGATATTCTGTTCTCTGAGATTTGCCAGGCAATTGCAAGTCAGAACCCATTACTTTTATTTAAAGCACTTACCCTGTGTTGCCTCAAGAAGAACGATAGTATATAGTTGGCTTTGATGCAGGAGTGCAGCATAACGTATCAAATGTTTTACTTTGTGAGAAATGATGCTAGGCTCACTTGGGAATGTAATTTCCAATTTATTCAGCATTTTCACCATCAACTAATGTTACTGCTCCTTCCAGTGTTAAATTTCAGTTAAAATCCAGTGCTTTCTCTGATTTTCCAAGACAGTTTTTGTTGATGGTCTGCCTTCAACTATTCCTAGAAGCCATTAGTGCATTACTCATGTCCTAATGTAAAAATGAAAAACCACAACACAATAAGTGTTCACTGAAAAACAAATTCCAGGAATAAGCAAATGGTTTAGTGAGGCAGCTCATGACTTGGCAAGGGTAACTACCTAGGTAGGTGGACTATAAGCATCATCCACATTGGGTGGTGCCTGTAGTCCACCATATAATTACATGAATTATCTGGATTGACTGGTAATCCTTGTAGGATTAGCTGCCTGTATTACCTCTCACATTTGTCCTTTATTATGCATAGTTGTATGTTGTCTCGTATATATTTCCCTGTTCTAATGTGAATAACGTGATCATAGCACAAGGGTTTTCCAGTGTGGTCCTTTGGTGTAGATATAGTGGTGAAAATTAGGAAATTAGCCATGAATTGATTTCTATCCTGCTTTTTCCTGTTGGAAATTCTTTAAGATGATTAATTCTGCCTACCTGTTAGCCAGGGTTCTCATACTCATTTGAAAAATACTTAGTCGCATCCCCACCTTTTATCAATATCCATATCAATGACAAAAAGCCTGGTGGCTGATATTTTACATTCTTAGCCCATCCCATTTATTGGGAAATCTTAAGCAAATGAAAATGTAAAGATATTCCTTTACTAATTCACTCCTTTACCTAAGTCCACAAATGCCTCAGGGATAAAGATGCTTTCATGATGAGTTTGATATGCAGTTGAATTTGTTCAACCCCAGCTGTACATGCACATACAATATTATTTTCCATTTCAGTTAATCTAAGAAATTGACAGATAAAAAAAAATACATTTTCCCCTTGGTTTTTGCTTGTTCCTTACTCTCATCATAAATGCATATATCCTATGAATTTGTTGATGTTTTTTCAGATTCAAAATTTGTCAATGCATTACAGAGACAGAGTAAAAAAAAACNCTGCACTGGCACCGCAGGGGACCACATTTAAATTCTTCAACAAATCGGTCTGAAGGGATACCTTAGTCCAACGAGTCCCCGGATAACTCTAGCTCTGAGGATGAAGGGAGGACGGTTCAAATTTCAAAGTCACTCCATTTAGGCGATGGTGTAGGGCCTGATAATGTTTTCTTAACGGCTGGTACCTGTCAATCCCAAGTAGCTCACGGGGCACATGATGGGTACCGAAAACTTATATAAATGTTATTACTAAATGGATAGGATTTAATAATATTTAAAAGCGTGTCTAAAATAGCCCCCAAAGTGCTTTCATTCTTTGAAAGTTAAACGAAGAGGTCTCATCTTTTTCTAGGCTGCTATTGCAACTGTCCTAACTAATGAGTGATCTGTAAAACAGATGGAAGAAACCTCGGTCTCCGACCGGGACAATGGGGACCATTCCCATTGTCTAAAGCAGCTTCGAGAGGGTCTTGCACCTGCCAACCCGCTCGCAGGAGGGTTTCACAGGGACTGGCGGGACCCCTGATGTGCCCACCATCAGGGAGAGGGGCCAGTCCCCCCATTGGCTCCTATTCTTTAAAAATAAAAAAAATAAATATAAATAAAACATTTAAAAAGCGCGATAGTGTATGACTTTGTCTCAAATGTGGGATGTGTGTAACTCGTTGAGTGGAGATGGAAGTTTACATTTTCTGATTCTACAACGATATGTAATCCCGGGGCAGGGAGAGTTTTTATCCTCTGAAAGGCTCTGAATTCGCACGATGAGACGGGCATACTGTCTTCCTATACGAGAGAAGGTAGTATTCGCCTCCAGACAGTTCAACTACTTGAAGGGCTCTGGCCCATAAACGATGAAAAGATTGCTTTTTAAGATGTTGGTTGTTTCTTGGATGAATCCTGAAAGAGAAAGGAATTTCATCCGTTCGGTGATGATTGGAAAAATTCAATTCACGTTCTTGAGGAGTGTTCAGGGAAAACATAATACGAACTGTTTAATTGATAAATAATTTCCCGACATTTAAATGGTCAAGTAACGTTACAAAAGATGTTCATGGAACGTTGGCAATACCTTCAATGAAACGATCATTGAACATTCATGAAATATTCCAGTGCCACTTGAGCAACTTCGCACCTGGAAAATGAGGCAAACGGGAGGAGAGTTTCTATTGCCCATCAGAAAGCTACCATTGTTTCTCTTAGGCGTGAAACCAAAAGTTCAGCAGGGAATTTTAAGGAAAGGACTGCTTCATGCAGGTTGACTTTTGTGAAAATTTTTGCTGGAAGAAACCGAAACCATTCCGTTTCTCTGAAACGGAACGTTCTGCGCTGAAATCCGTACGCGTATCGAATGCCAAAAGCCGTTTCGAAAAGGGAAGGAAAAACCAATGAACATGATCACAAGGAAAGCTGGAGCAGCCAACGTAAGCGTCTTCATTCTCTGTAAATGATATAATCCAGGTTCATTGCCAATCTGATGCTTTTCAAATGTAGAAAGGCGTCTCCTGGACGTGTGGGTTCCGTTCGAGTGTAGGTTGCAGCATTCATATAATACAAGCATTTCAAGCGCGAGGGTCGACAGGTTTCGGTTCACCTTTGAACCGGACCATGACGACGAGATGGGCGATGACTGCATGGAGGGCCTGCCGGATTCACGAGGCATGTCCTCTCGATGAAAGATCAATCAGACGCAACAGAGAGGATCGGAGCGAGAACTCACGGCGACGAGCATCCCCCGGTCGCAGTGGAAGAAGCCAGCAGCCGACGGCGAGATGGGATTCCCGTTCAAGCGGTCGAGAAAGAGTAAGACTTGCACCGTTTCGACTCGATTTAAATGCTCCTTCGTTTTCCCGGCCTGGTAAGATCCTCAGGATGAATTTCGCTGGAAACGTGATATGTCTTCGAACTCCCAAGAGAGACTCACGGCTTCTGCCAATCGGGGACTTCGTCCTGCAAACCAGACGAACTTAATGGTGCGCACGATACCGACGAATAATGATGTGAATTCCGAGGTGTTCAATTCTGGAAATAATCCAGATCCGGCTTGATGGTAATTTTTTGATCCGAGAGAGGCCCTTACTTCGGCCGCTATTTCCATCAATAACGATGCTTGATGAGAATCAAAAATGTCCTCAAGAATGGACTTACGGAACGATGTATGTCGTCTACCAACATATTAATACATGTTACCAGTTCTCAAACGGTACTGATGTGAAATGAAACTTGTCCACATGGGTTAGAGCAGCGGTTCTGTGTGCCACGGCACCCAGGGGTGCCGCTAGAAGCTGGCAAGGGTGCCGTGGGTGTTGGGAGAATTATTAGCCTCTCAAGAGAGCAGTTCGTGAAGGCTGGAAGTCCACAATGCTACTGGCGCATTCGAAAAGCACTACTAGTATTAGTACATACCGGTACATGGAGCGGGCAGGAAACCTCTTCTGAAGGGCCGCTTCTACAGGGTGGCCCATAGGTCCCAATCGGTTATGATTAAAGCAAAAAATAAATATAAAAAAATAAAAAGTAATAATTCTGTAATAAGTTTAGAAATATTTATCGATTATTTAAAGTACGAAATACAGCCATCTCGAAAAATATTCGTTCCTTATCAATAGGTTACGTCAATGTGAGCTCCATCATGCTCCATCAAATCGGAGCTACTTGCGGGCCAAGGTAGGGGACCCGAAAAAAATTTCGCCGATAAAATGTCATACCTGTATTTCTTCTTTCATGGACCGAAACACTTGCAATCAAATGTTCTTCGACCGTGAATGGACTTGTATCCGTCCCCACATTCACTCGACTCACGGATATTTCTTAGGGGCGAGGAGGAGGGTACCTGGAAGCGCATGCGCATTCAAACCATCCATTTCGACGCCTTGGCGGATTTTTTTCAACATTTTTGTCATAACCGATTGGGTCTTATGGGGCACCCTGTGGGGTGCGACACCCCTGGCTCGATAGGTATTATTTAATTTAAAAAATGCATGCAAAGAACATGGAACGAGTCAATTTTGATCATAAATGACTCACTGCATAATCCTTGTATACAAATTAATCCTGGATGGAAGTCTACGAGAGGTTTCTAAAACTCCTCGGCAAAACGACCATGAACATTTCTACGAAGGAGATGGAATTCCCAAGGAGAAAGTGGTTGTGGGCCATCACCTGCGAGGGCATAGGGTCCGTCGGGATCATCTGGAGCCGTCGGGATCATCTGGATTAGGGGAATTCCATATTTTGTTTCCGAGTCTCTGCCAGGGTGGTTTAATAACAAGGTCATTTCCAAGGAGCGATGCGGTTCAAAGTAATTCAGTTGTTACTTTAAATCCCATGGAATTGTTGAGTTTGGGCAAAACCCACGCATTTCAGGTTTTAGCCTAATTGAACCAACAATTCAAAAGTCATAGCCTTTCAAATTTTCACAGAAGGCTCTATTTTCTCAGTGAAACACAACATTTGAATTATTCATTTCTTCACTAATTTCAGTGGAAGGAAGAAAGTTAAAGTCAGTAGAATATCAGTATCACTCCTACCAGTAGCGTGCCCAGGAAATCCGAATGGGAGGGTTGCCATATGAAACATTGATTACCCACCCTAACGGGGGGGGGGGGGTGAACATATGAAAACTGATAACACACCCCGTATTTGTGACCAAATGAAAAAAAATGAGAATGGAACCTGTAAATTTGGACCCAAGGGGGGTCATAACCCCCCCCCCCCCCCCCCCCCCCTTTCCCCCTTGGGCACGCAACTGACCACTGCAAAACATTCGACTTCCATTTATTCAAGACACTCTCAAAGTTTTACCTTAGATTATGACCATAGCCTTGATGGCAGCCTCGAATTAAAAAAAAGGGGGGAAATGCATACCAATATTACCCAACAAAGAATGGAAATTTCACAGCTGTTATATTTATTGTTGTTTCTTAATATCCCACGAAGCACATCATGATGATGCCATATATTACTGAAAACTTGCATCCAAAAATGCCTTCTTTTTTCATTGTTCCGGCCCTCTCATACGCAAAATTATCTCCAATTAATTAATTTGTCTATTGACCCAGACCAGACGCTTGATGGAGCGACGGAGGCCCCAGATCCGGTCAGGCCCGGTCCCACCGTAGCAGGCGCGCCTGACAAGTATTGGAAGTTTGCCAAAACCAGTGTAGAATTTTAAGTTTAAATACCCGTCCATACCTTCTAAGGTACTCTATCGAAATGAAGCCACAGAATGACACGGGCATGTCGCGTTCAGTCGGCTACGTGTCGGAAAATCCACTGACATAAAACCCTTGGGAATGTAATGTATGGTGTCTCATCCAAACCTC